TGACAAGGATAATTATTGTAACATTTTTGTTTTTTAACAATAAATTAATAATATCATTGTTTGAGAATTGTGTCCGATGATCTTTTTTTCTTTTAATTTTTCACTCACAACTAAAAACTACTACTAGTTTAGAAGATATTAAAGTGCGCGTCATTCTTCGGTGTTCCTTACTATGTAGATTATTAATGTTTTTAATTAATATAAGCTTAGTATGTATTTTTCCATGGAGGGAAATGCTGAAAAAGTACTTGAAAATTGCAAAAATTTAGAGATATACAAAGTAATTGACTAACTAAAACTCACGTAATAATTTCAAAAATATGAAATGATATATCATTTATCCTAAAAATTATGAATATTTTTAAAATTTTATAATGCTCTACCTATTACTAATTAAAGAAAAAAAATTTCTACTTTTCTTTAACAAATATCCTAAACAAAGTATTTTAAATGACGAAATTCATGTTAAACAGACTCACATAAAAAATGTTCTAATAGAGAAATTTTTGGTTAATAACAACTTTTAAACCCTTATCTTTGCAGTTATTAATATTTCAAGAAATAGGCTTAAAGTGATGCCCCGATTTTATTATTTTAATGATTAGGATATCTAAACCATACTACTTCTTTCACCTAGATATAAAAATAATGATAGTTTCTTGTGTAATGGTTCAAAAGTTGTTATTGACCAGTTATTTTCTTAATTAGATAATTTTCAAATATTTAATATACATAAGTAGTTAAATTTGTATGTTTCAATTTAAAAAACTCTTATTGATATGCATTTTAAAAGTAATAAATAAGGAATAAAGTAAGATTTAAAAATAAAAATTATGCTTATAAAATTTTATACATTTTTAGAAAAAAATTTGTAATTTTTTCTGTATCTCAAGGCTTATTGAGATATAGTAACTCACTTTTTGAGTTACAAGCATTTTAATAGACACCATGGATATGTGACACGGCTGTAGTATGCATTATAAATATACATCAGAACAGGCTGTATCCACCCGCATTACATACTATACCCATTAAAAATTTTCGATAAATGTTGAAAAAATTTATCAAAAGTAATACGAATTTTCATTTAGATCTGTTTAACCTGTTTTACTAATTACATGAATAATAAAATTTTACGAATTAGTAGAATATTAAAAGCACTTGGTATAATTATTATATTTCTACTATTTTTAAATAAAAATTATGTTGTATAAATGTATATTAATGCAGGACTTTACAATGTTATTATATTTGTATGACTAAAAAGTTATGATAAAATAATATTAATTAAAAATTGCTGATTAACATTTGATAACAGTAATTTTAATTCCACAGTTCAATTGTCAACACATATGCATGTAGAATTTTCTGGTTCTTAATTTATTTTTAAAATCAAAAGTTCTATTTAGAAAACAACTAATCTTTATATTTATTTCTATATGTATAGAAACTTGTGATTCTCTATATTTCATTAAATAATTGCTTAAATTAATTTAACCATATTAATAATTAATAACAAAGCAAATTCATTTTTACAGAAAATTATAAAGGGTTAAATAATTTTAAATAATAACCAAACAAACTCACTTTTGAAAAAAAAAATGATAGAACTTTTTAGTTTTTACTTTTTGAGTCAAACAATTTAATTATTTAACGGATATATAAATGAATTCTAAAACGTAATACATTTTTAGTCTTACATAAATAATGTTTTTCTATAATATGTTGTTAAAAATTCATTTCTTTTTATTTAAAATAGTTTGGTTATTTATAATAAAATATCTTTTTAGTGTAGTTTTGATGAGGTACTTTAAAAGGAATTAACTACTAGTTAAAAGGAATTAACTACTATTTTACATTTCACAAAAATGAGCAGTAAAAGTTTTAACTGGTAAATAATGAATATGTAAATTGATTGTCATGTTATAATGTAATATATTTTATAAATATTTAAATTTTTCCTAAAATCTTTATTTTTCTTAGATTTACTAAGAAATTAAATAGTGTTATTTTGACAGAAAGTATTTAATAGAAATTTTTGGTATTTCCATAGATGATAAATTAATATCAACATTAAAAAAACATTTTAATAAAGTCACACTAGACGAAATTCATCTTATGTTTTTAATAAGGGAGATTGATTCAAGAAACAAAGGCACTATCCCGAGAAATAAAGAAAAAATTATTTTTGAAAAAATGATTTCTTAACAAATGATGAACATAAAGAAAAAAGGAAACACAAGAATAATTCACGAAACCAAATTAATTAACCAGTCTAGCGACTCTTGGTTGATGAACGGTTCACTAAAGGATGTTGTTCACATTGTGATTTTTAATTTAATCGATTCTTCAACAAAGAGTATTTAGTTCACGCTATACTTCCGAAAGATTTACTATAAGATCCATGTTTGTTACAAGATTGTTTTTTTATTATGTTTTCGACCATAAAGTTTTCTTAAGTAGTAGAGAAATATAGAAGTCTATTACAACAGAGTTTGATGCTGTGATAAAGATATATACTTTATAGTACACCAGGTGTTATAAATGACCCCAATGATCACATTATGAACTACTGTTTGCGACAGTATGTTTTGCATGGTTTAATTGCCATACTGACGACTTCATTCTTCTTCCACTTACAGCAATCGGTTATTATCATCATTGTAGATGAGAAGTTATTAATCGAATTGTTTTATTTTATTTTGACGCCATTGTTGCATTATTATCAAGTATTCTACTTCTTTCTTCTGTATGAATAGAGACAAAATCAATGAGTGTTAACCAACCCGCGCGAGTATCACCAAGCGTTGCGTTAACACAGACCGTAGTACGGCTATTTATACACGGCACTAGATTGCCATTTTGCCTCATGCCTGTTTGATCGCTAAAGGGTTCTATGATAGGGATCACCTGAATGGGTAGAAAAAACAATAGTTAAATAACGAATTTAAAAAATATTGAATATATTTAATATCTAGCATAACATGTGTTCTTCAATGAATAATCTTAAAATAAGGTGGCTTAGGGGCGTGTCCTTATTACTCGAATGACCGACAAAGCGATATATGAACAAAATAGAAAATATATTATATTATTTTACAATTAATTCTAATGTAACAAAATCTACATGTAATATTTAGTCATTTATTAGAAATTGTTTTATTTCTTAGTTAGTAGCTCAATTCATTATAAAAAAAAATTGAATGACATTTTTTTTTTTAATTCTAATTACTTTTGAATATATTAAATTAACTTAATGCTTAATTTTTATATTTCTTCTAAAGTATTACACAAGTTTAGCTTTATTGTTTTGCTAGGTAGATTGGGGACACTCGTTTTTTTTATGACATCAATATAATGTTGTTGTTATTATCAATGATACTAAGACACATTGTTGTGAGTCCATAAATACACTAACTGACAATATAAAAAGTATATATATTGATAGTCATAATTGATAATAAACAATCCGTGACTGTGAAAGCGAAATCATAAAAAACCAATTAGCTAATTGTATTTTTAATCCCTTGTGTATTATACATGTATAATAACTCAACAATTTGAAACTTCAAATGTTTATATTTAATAAACGAATAAAGTTATATTAAAAATTCAAATGCCATTTACTATTAAATTAAAAAATTAAACATTTTATTAAATTCAAAATATGTGTTCCCATTTAAAGAAAAACAAAGTTGACACTCTTACAAGGCATAAGGGATGAACTTAAAAAGTATTACAGAGTTAATAATTCAAGAGTAATGTGTAATAAAACATAACTAAAAAAAAAATGATTAAATTATATTTATTCTGTAAGTAATTAAGTAAGTTATGATAAAAAAAAATCATTCTGTATATATATATATATAATACATATAATGAGTAGAATCTTTTGTATGGGAACTTCAACCATCCTATTTATAAAATGTTGCACGTTAAAAATAAAGTAAAATATTCCATTTAATTACTTGAACAACAAAATATTCTTCATCATCTGGAAAATCATCGTCATTTACTATCGATTCATCATCACTAGGTATTGATTCAAAATTTGAAACAATCCATCGTGAGAAAAATGTTCAATATGTATCACACTATTTTTCATTGTGGTATACTGTTGACACCACCTGTAAAATGAGAATAATTAAAATACCCATTCAAAAATTAAATTTATATTATAATATATTAATATTTAAGTACTTTCTTCATCAAATGTAATAGTTTTGCGAGATTCGATTTAAAATCATATACAAATACAAAAAATATATATACAAAAGATTTATTCAAACGTAACAAAAAATTCTAGATGTAAATTTATATCTAGTATCTAAGATATATTTCTTTCCTTGTTTTAGTAAAGATACCCTCGGAACACTAACTCCGATATAAAGATTAACTTGAAAAAAATAGTAATTAGGCTTAAGGTCAATGTTGTGGAGTACGTTATCGTATAGTTTTTTACTATTTTTATTACGATAAGCAAACGATCGGTTTTTTATTCAGCGGAGAAAAACCAGTCTCTTATAAAAGTCTCACAATGCTCATATAACAAAAATGTGTTTTATTCATTTTATAATTAATCGATCTAAGTAGCCTTCTTTTAATTTGAAAATAAGAGAATACAGTCAAAATTCGCAACAAAGTCATTAAAAATAGTAAATGACACAGCATAAAAGGAAGTCAAGTTATGGAGTAATATAATAACAAATTCATTAGAGACGAAGAATAAAAACAGTTTTTATTGCAGGTAAATAATTTAATAACTTTCATTTTGATCTAAATTCAATAAATTCATTTAAATGTTTAAACCATATAAGATTACCAAAAGAAATATTCACAAAGTGATAGAAAAACACTAATATATATATATATATATTAGTAGTCAAATGCTGATCTTAAGCATTGTGTTGTGCGAATTTTAAAATAACATGTTTTCATCGTATATAATACAATTTTTTTCTACTTCATTTTAGTAAATTGTTAAATAGCTGAATTTTTAAATAATTTTACGTAATATGATGTTTAAGTAATACTAATTTTATAAAAAATTTGTGTAGAAGTATTATGTCTACTTTTCATGAAATTTATCTTGTTTTATTATTTTTCTCAAAGTATAATTGATGTATGAAAAATTTCGTTAGTACCTTTATCATAGGCAAAAGTAAGTTCTATAATTAAATTTTTACAAATTTTAACGTTAAGTATAATACTCATCGAGTTAAACTCAACAAAAAAAAAGCTATTCTCAATTGTCATATTTCAATCCCAATGTGACACCAGAACAATAATTAAATAATCACATATATATTAAAGGTTTTTCAAAGAGTATTTCATATTTTTAGGGGTAACGGGGGTCTTTTAAATACTAATGACCGACGAAACGGCATAAATAAAATAGTTACACTCAATTGAAACAAATAATAAATGACATTAAATTTAATATAAAACTCAGCTGAATAAATGAAGTTGTCGATAGTGGTGAGTGGACTGTATGAGATCTTGTGCTAATGGTTTTTTTCATGTTAAATTTTTCCTCGCGAAGAGTACCAATATTTGGATGGGCCAATTAACTTTAACCGCACAAGTTCGAGTTTAAAGTTATCGAGCCAGCAATGTAATTTAGCCACACTTTCAACTGATTAAAGCCAAAGCGAACGTCCCTAGTTGACTCGCGGCTGGTAAAGTTACTGATACTGTTATTGAAATCGGGCATGATGAAATATCCTTGAAATGGAGGGAGGAACGGGTGGTGCTGCATTGTTATCTGAGTTATGATTATCCTTCGATAGTAACTGCTGCATTAGAAGATTATTTTGAGTGACCAGTGTAGCCACTATATTACACAGATCGGCCGCGCTGTTATGAGCGCTAAAGTTAGGGTCTCCTTCGGCTCTATAATGACATTGCGTCTCTGACGTCACTTACTGGTAAAACCGACTGACTCCGTAGCCACATGGACTTTATAACCTCGAATAGTACTTCTCTAACTCAACGAAGCAACGATACAATAAACGGACAATAACCGGCATCGGCTAGCGTTCTACCCCACACCTGAATTTGTAGTGTAAAATATTAATAAAAAAAAACAAAAAAATATATAATTACACATGAAAAGTACCTTCGTAAATATAATTTTAATTTATTAATACGACAATTAAAACAACATTCGATTAAACAGACAAAACAACCGATCACCCAACGCTCCGGCCCAGCACGGCGAAGGGTCAAGCACACACTGACTTAATTATCGACGGCCTTATCGCTATTGTAATAAACCAAAAATAAAAAGACAGAAAAAGAAAAAGAAAAAGAGTGATTAAAGTTAAAGTAGAGAAAGCAGAGCTTAAATTATTATATTATTATATTAAGTTTAAGAAATAGGAAAAGAAATTGGTTGGTACTTAGTAAATTATTATAGTTATTATTTTTATAAGTTTTGTAGATTTTATGTCTTCAATTTTATTTAAATTAATTTTTTTATTAATTATTTATCTCATTAATTATTAATGGTCTATCACGAAATAAATTGTTGGAGGTTCGAAAGCATAGGTTAAATTGTACTTACCTTACGTCCTATGTAATACAATATTATTCCAAGTAATCCAGTGTTGATTTCCGCGTTAAACGTACTACGGTATACGATTTACACTATACGTTATATAGTCTATATAATTACTTACAAAAAACGATTCAAGACTTTAAATAATATGATTTAATTACACAAAGTCTACAATTAGTCTTGCCTGTGAATGATTCTAAACACTCTGCGCGATGTTTGTTAAAACAAAGACATTAGTAACGAGACTAGCTACCCAAAAAGAAAAGATCACAATATATTTATATTATTATATAAAATTTGAAGTTGGGTTAGATTTATTGTTAAAATAAAATAATTTTTAAAAAAAGTTTAATATTTAAAATATTATTAGACGTTTATTTCCACAGTAATAAAATAAAACATTATTATTTAATGAACAAATTAAATTAAATTAAAAGATTCACCAAAATAAAATTCATCTTAAAATCTCTAAGTGTCATTTAGTTTTAAAGAAAAATATTCTAAGCCCAAATTAATTTAAAAATCGACTAAGTCCCGGAGAGTGAAATCTTGAGTAAAACATCGTAGATTTTGTGTATTTTAAAATCGTCAAAAGAACTGGTTTAAATAGGGAAAAATGGCCTTTTATAGTCTGAAGGGGGTAGCCCAACGATCTCTACCGTGATCCTAGAAGCTGAGGCTTTGTATTCTAATTGGTTAATTAAAATGGGGTCCCTGCGTGTAGGCGTTACTAAATAATTTCTACAAGAGGGAGATTTTATCGCATAATTAATGGGTATTTTGTATTTTAAATAAGAGAACCCTGTTTTGGTGATCTTGTATAATCATAATATGTGACATACATGTACAAATGATAACATCATATTATATGTTAATATTATATGTAATAATATAATATTACACTATTTTGACAATTACACAGAATACTACAATAAATTGACACAGCCACAGTGTTATGACACTCCGCGATCGTGACAGCTCTTTCTCAGCCTCCGCTCCACTATAAACCGGTCCGTTACACCCACGCGATATTGTTGAGGTTTAAAGTCCAACTAATGGCCAGCATCGAATACTCGCCACAATAATACATTTAGCTGTCACCCTTCTGACAACATGAAAATCAGTTTTCTGTTCATCCGGATTATTCATGCCCTCGACGCACCATAACGACCGTGAGATCATCTTTTTATTATTTAATATCGATCTCTGATGTCACGTGCTCAGTGTTTTCATTTATTTTTTACCTACTATAATATTAACACAAAAATTTTAAGATATTTTTAAATAAGCCGCATGACGTGCTCAACCACAACCTTTAGTGTCGCCTATTTTTTTTTCATTTTATTATTATCCACTCACTAACACCGAACCAATTGCGTATCAAAATATTAAAAATATATTTTATAGACNTCACTAACACCGAACCAATTGCGTGTCAAAATATTAAAATATATTTTATAGATTTAAATAAATTTTAAAGCTGATAAAATAAAAATTTCATCATCGAAAACAATGTATCATAAAAAATCATGCCATTAAAATCAATAATATTTTAACTAAAATTAAATAGATGTATTTTTTTTTTTTTAATTTACAAATTATAATTTGAATAATTTAACCATACCATACCATAATTAATATAATTCAAAATTTCCTAACATCCGAATGATATTTTTAATCATCATGTTATTTTAAACACAGATATTGTAATATTGACATTAATAATCGAAAATTCACATAAAAATTTGACAATTTTATTACTACTTATTCTAATTTCCCCTAATATCGTGAGCGTTAAAAACTTCCAGTACACATATGCAAAACTTCAAACATTACTTTTAAGTGTACAAGAATATGGCTTATTATTAAAAATTTTATCAAATTTTAAAAAGCCGAATATTTATCTTCTTCAGTTTAAAAAATATAGTTTTGTTTTTGAATATATAAATCAAGCAATGAATATTTTTTTGATAATTATTCTAATGCACACATCCGCTTTTATAAATGGCGTCTATGCCTTTTTTTGCAAAACGACATAATTATGTTGTTTTACGACGCAAGGGTTTAACCTTGAAACTGAAAACATAAAAGAATTTGTTTGCAATAGCTAAAGAAAAATATCACAAATAAACAGTATTTGTAGTTTTAAGTCGTATTAAGAGAGTATTATTATTGAACAAAAATGGAATAGTTAAGTTGTTTTTTCGTTATTTGTACATGTAATTGCCATTTATAAAATACTTTGAAAATATTAGAAATTTTAATAAATTATTACATTTTAATCATCTACATGGAGAATATGGGCTTAGTAACTTTATGATTTATAAAATAGGAATTTGTATTCAACTTATGAGGACAATGTCTTCGACTAGATACGATTTGTGATCTTTTAACGTATCATTGAAAGATATTGGTTCGGTGACAGACACAAAGAATAAAAAAACGCATCATAGTAAATTTAATACCTTGTCAGCTTTGCATCACAGCTAACATCATTGACTCTATGTCTAATACAGAACGTGTCTAATACATGTCTAATTAGAAGTAACTAATATACTTTTATTGATGAAATATTCTTGGCTTAAAAATTAGTATTCATGGATCATTAAAACTAAAATATAGAAAATGAAAATTTTGAGTTGAGTTCTAACTATTGTAGCCGATATGTATCACATTTATTCAAATATAATGATTTTAATTTATATGTTAAATAAATCTTTGTAATTTTTCGATTCCATTTCCATCATAATATTACCATTTTGATAGGGAGTCCATGTGAAAATGATACGAAATAAATGTAAGTCACACAATATTTTACCCAAGTAGCATTATTTTGGTTCACGATCGGTTCAAACGACATATGAGTGCTGGGAGAGTTCAATGTTCAATAATGAACCGTGTAATATTTTATAAGTTCTAGGAAAGTTCAGTGTTCAATAATGAACCGAACAATTTTTATTAAGTGCTCAATGTTCAAAATAATCGTACGGATTCACCAAAATTCTTTCATTTCAATGAAAGAATCGTTATAATGGTTATAGCCGTTCAAATAGTTTAATTCACTTATATTGTTATTAGACATATTATCCCTTGATTAGTAAATTAATAAAAAAACTTTAAAATAATAGTCATAAAATATTTTTATTGAGACTATAGCGCGAATTTAACGTACGAACTTTTGGCGGAATAACCAGACTTGTCATTAACCGTTGACCAACAGTTTTAGTTCGCGCGATTTTTATTTGTTATTTAATTTTTACTGTGACATTTTTTCAAAACATCAACCATTGTTTTAATCTTTTTACAAATTATGTTTTTGAGACATTCGCTATTTTCACAGTGACTAAATAACTTTTCAAGACNATTTTCACAGTGACTAAATAACTCTTCAAGACTGCTCTTTTTCCCTGTTCACTCTCACATAAATATTTAATTTAAATAAATAAAATGTAAGTACATTTAATTTAAGTTTAGGAGTAAAATAATAAATAGTTATTTGAATTCATTTTAATAATAGCATATATTATTTTTTTTAAAGATAATCATATTTTAGTAACTACATTTATTGTAATTGTAAAAGATACATGTGGTAAATTATTGTTACAAACAATGAGAACAATAGAAACCCGTTTCCTGACTTACTGAACACTCTATATATTAAATTTTTGCATTTTGTATTATGATTAATTATAATTATAATACAAAATTATTTATTTTAAAAAAGTACTATCGTTAATTATGTTGTTATTATGTTATTAACGGACACCTCAAGATTTTCCATGAGCTTAAAATGTTGAACTATTTTAAACATTCATCATTGTCGTTATCATCATATCCTTAGCATTTATCCCAACTATTTGGGGTCGGCTCTAGCTTATTTTAAATCGGCTTATTTATTGATTTTTATTCATACATGTGATACAAATTACTTCTGTATTTCAATATTTAAAATGGTGCATTATATATTTCTCAACATTGTATACTTTGAAATACCATCTCTTAAAAAGCTGTCGATTTTTAATGAAAATCCCTCCATTGTGCTACTGAATAATTTAAATTTTTCAAACATTTTAAGTTAAAAAGAATTACATCTATTTGAATGAGAATTATATTTTAATATCTAAAATTTTAAATAAATGAAAAGTATTAAGTTTAAGGTTTTCACCGTTTAACAATTAACAAGGTTTTACGTTAAACAAGATTTTCATTAGATTGATTTTTGTAATTATTTGTAACCTTTATACTATTAAATTAACAAGATTTTTATACAAATCAGCTAATAAAGAGCACATATTAATCTATGAGGGACAGACTTACATATAACCTAAGTAATTTTAAGATATAAATAAAAATATTCACAGTATTTTCCCTTAAACAAAAAACAAATCTATATACCTAGGTCATCTAAAATATTATCATTAATTTTTGAACCCAATTTTTAAAACTCAATTTTTATATTTGTATATTCTATACAAATATTTTTACTAGTTATTTTATGTACTAATGTTTATTTTTTAGATGCTATGTCTGGCCAAATCATAATACCTGAACACGAAAGAACATTTAACAAAATAATATTTTTAAGCATTCTGGCAATAATAAAGCATCACACCAATAAAATCGTATTGTTTTTTTGTTATTCAATTACATTTTATTTTTTTGTAAATGATTTTTTAAATTTATTTACTTAGATTGTTTCACAGTTTTTTTTATTAATAAGTTCAAACAAAATATAGCATTTTAGGAATCAAAATAAAAACAGTAAAAAAAAAAAACATGGCAATCTTATGCCATTTTATTGTATGCTACTTATGTGTATTACTCCTTCTGTTGTACTTATGACAATGATTTTCTTTTATTCCATTTTATGGAAATTAAATTAAAATTACTAATTGTTTTTATAACCACAGTAATATTTTTTAATATATCAACTATTGCAATTTCACAATTTTTTGTACCAATATTAACTATATATTCCTTGTCTAAATTCTATAATACCTTAGTGATTAACTTATTATGATAAAATATTTTTATTGGATTTTTTTGATAAATATTGTACAACATTAAATCAAACCGAGTTACAGTAAATAAATTGCTGACATCACTAACATCATTATTTTTATTTAAAATTATCTATTGTTATTAATTTATATTAATTATAATCAAATTGTATGAATGAATTGTTTACTAGTTATCATTTAATATAAAATAAACCTAAAATTCGTAGGTTAACTATTTTACTTTTTATATATACATATAATATATTTTATTTTATTTTATACATTGTGTATATAGTGATACAATTTATTATTTTAAAATTATAAAATGTTTGAATATTTACAAAACCTATAAATTTAATTTTAAATACCGTAACTGCTAATGAACTAATGAACGGTTATTGAAATGTTATCGAGCGTTTTATAGTTGTACCGAGGAACGGTCTTTGCACTCTTACTGAAATTTTGTGGAACTCAGTTCACCCCATGTTAAAATCCGTATTCAAATCTCATTTTGAACCGTGCTGTGAACGGGTTTTGAACTGAGTTCAGCACCGTTGTTACTATATTAAATGAACCCGGTATGAACTCGAATTGCTACTCGAGTATGATTGAAAATTGGCGTAGAACCGTTTATTCTAATTTGTAAACGAGTACAGCGCACAAAAAAGGAAATACAAGATTAATTTGCGATATCAAATTAATTAACCAGTTTCCAATAGCGTAGTTTATTAACAAGTTGCTGAAAAAAATCAGCGAGCCCTTGAACGATGCGCGTGACAAGGTGTCACGAATGTGACCAACGTATTCTTGTGGGCGAAGTCGGCACTTACCGGACTTTGTACCATTAGGTTTGTCATGCGGTGTAGATCAATCAAATTACCATATACACGAAGTGATGTGATTGGTTAGGAAGGTGGTGCTCCGTTTAATTTCATTACTAATTGTAATTTTAAAACTTATCTTTGAAAAAATGAATTTTTTTACTTCATAATTAGTTAAAACATCGAATGACTAAATTTGATACATAAAAGCTGTTAGTAATATTATTTAATTACAAATATAACAGTTACAGTATAACATTATATTTCGCTCCGAATGAGCGATATATTTGAAAAAGTGATAAAGTAATTGTCGGTCAGAAAAGTAATCAAAATTGATAATTATTTATGTGGAAAAATTATTCTAGAAGTTTCTAGAATCAAGTGCCTTTTCTCAAGAATCGCGCTGTATATACAAAGTGATCGGTTTATCATAAACCACTCGATTACTCTCGAAATGAATACTGACACGGCCCGCGTCGCTTCGTTATACACGATGCCCCGCGACTCGTGCCACCTTTATCAGCCCTATTTTATGAGTATTTGACTGACCAACACCGCGTGTTATACGCTACGGTGCAAAGTCCAGCAAATGCCGCACGGCCGACGACGAACCGCCGCAAATGGTGCGAGAGTCTTCCTCCCTTTGTGAGAGCGACAACGTCGACCAACCGATCCGGACCAACGCACCGTCGCCATCAATGCTGCTAACCTTTTGTCGCCTACAACGCTGCTAACCTTTTGTCGCCTACAACGCTGCTAACCTTTTGTCGCCCGAGGATCACGCCGGACATCGCGTCGTCGACGCCAGCGAAAATGCCGCGATATTATGCGAAGATTTTTATTATTGTGTTTATCTTTTCGGTTTGTTTTATTTTTTGTTAAAATAACCTGTTGTCGCTCATTTAACAAACGGCCCTCATAACCAGTGTCGACCACATTTTTGCGACGTAAGTCGTGTCAATACAATATTGAAAAAAAAAATTATAAATAAAATAATTCGACAATTGTTTTTCTAGTATTGTATTTATTTTGTGAGTAATCTAGTGGTTTATGATAAACCGATCACTTTGCATTTATAAATATATAATTATTAATTGTTTTAATATTTTTTCGTTACACTGAAATTGACGTATTAGTTATTGTGCAAACAAATTATTCTGCCTGCCATAAAATAAACATTACAATGATAAATTGTACATTTGCTTAAATTTTAAATTAGTATTTATATTTATTTAAAAAAAAAAATACTTTTATATTATATTTTATTTTTTTCAAGTATCAATGAATAAATTTTACCTGCCATAATGTATAAATAATATTGACCAAATGTCAATCGTATATTTATTATAATATATTACCAAAACTTTTTATATTTTACTCATTTTAGTAGGGGGTGCGATCGTTTCTTCGTCCAAACCGAGATCCGCCGCTGTTATTACATTTAATTATTGAGCATATTTAAATTTTACTCATTTTAATTATTAATTATTCTCTTTTTTTTTTTTGTTACACTTATCATAACATATAACTTTTTTTGCAAAATCTTTTACAGTTTGGCGTAGAAAAACAATACAATTATAAATTGTACACTTGTTTAAATTTTAAATGACTATTTTAATTTATTTTAAAAAAATCAATTGTTTTATCATATATTTTATTTTATTCGAGAATGAATGAATTTACTTGCAATAATATAAAAATAATTTTTATTGACACATAATATATGTATAAAAGACAATTGATTAATTTGTTTTAACGCATTTTAGATTTTTCTAAATAGTCTGAATTGTTCTATATAAATTAAGTTCATTTGATAATAAATATTATTTTTCACGTTTAACTCACTTATAAGTAATCATAATTAAAAATGAATTTCTATTTTTGTTTTGGAATATTACTTTCTTTTATGTGTTTAATTACCATACCTACGTTTTCAACTGGAATGTCCTCCTCCAGAAACAATGTGCGAAAACAAGTTTTTATAGTTATTATTATCATTTTGTAAATTTATTACTATTATTTAGTGGCGTGGTAGCCTTCTTTATATGCATAATAATTATTGGCAATCTACTTATAAATTTATAAGCGGATGATATTATAATATTCCAAGTATATTATATTTTATAAGTAAAATAAACTTGGAACAGTTAATCACTATATAAATATGGTTCATATCAAACTCCCTCACGTAACGACATTTCCCTATTTTGAGTTCATTATTTTCCGCAAAATATTGAATTCGTGAAATAACAATTTCCCTTTCGATAATTTCAAAATCTCTAGTTGTAGTCGCTAAACAATTTAAATTAATTTTTTGAAAAAAAGAGTGAACTTGTGTCGAAACGTAATTTAATTTAAGTCGCATTGTCGCTATAAATATAATAAGTATATAAAATTGTATGTATAATTTATACTGATACTATTTATCTTGTATACTATACAAAAGTTCATAAAACATTAGTAAAAAAAAGATCAGTAAAAACTTAAATATACCTCCATCTTAGTATAAATTTTTATGTAGTAATGTGAGTTTGATATGAAAATATTTAGTTTTTAATATCTATAACATTTTTTAACAATAATATTTACAACTAAAATAATTGTTTTGCGGAATGATAAATTAATAGAAGATATTTTTAATCCATTAAATGAGGTAAAGTGCCACAGATATTAAGAAAAAAATTGTTAGTTAAATTTTTTTTAAATGTAATTTCGTAAAGAAAAGCAGTATGAATACATTTTTAAATTTCACTACCTAAGAATTAACAATGTATTTATTTTTTTTTTTTTTTTAGTATGATGATTTAATAAAGTTAATTTTCAATCCAATAAATGAGGTGATGTATAGAATTAATCGAAATTAAGAAAAACATTTTTAAAAATAATTTTTTATTTATTTGCAAAAAAGAATATAAATTAATAATTTTTTTCATTTCATTACTTAAAAAAATTCTTCATCTCATAAATTAATGAAATAATGATTTAATGGACAATTCAAGGGCACAATGTGAAGAATTCTCTTAGACTGTTTTAGGGTGTTAACTTTATTTTATTAAAAGAGAACGTATATATTCGAATAGCTAATAAAATAAAGTATTATAAAACTAAAAGAATAACTGTTGGTTGGGTTGTAAAATAAAATAAAATTTAAACGAGTAGTAGAATAACGTACAGATAATTGACGCGCTTTTATTTACAAAATATTACTGTAAGCTGTCATTTGTTTGTACAGTCTCCAAACCTAAATTAATTTTATAAAACTACATGGTAATTGTCTGAGAAATGTAAAATTTTATAGATTAATTATTTCATTAAAAAAAAAATTTTTTTTGTAAAAGTACATAATGATATCAGTGGCGTTCACAGAAATTAAATTTGTTTTTTTTATTTAATTTGACACGGTACCGTGTTTCCCTCAGCCGCACATCACGTTATCAACCTATATGAAAGTGTATCGGGATCTGAATCATAAGTGCACGGTGGCCTAGTGGTAAGGTTTGTCTATACGACGCCTTAGGTCGCGGGTTCTATTCCCGTACCGTGCCTCTTTTTTTCACATGATTTCCGGTACACTTTCTATAACCAGCCGTCAATCCCCGGCGGCCGTGTTATCTGGCGCCCAACGTGGGGCTCGAACCCACGACCCCGAGATTAAGAGTCTCGTTCTCTTAATCTCGTCCTCGGTAGTATAGTGGTAAGTATCCCCGCCTGTCATGCGGGAGACCGGGGTTCGATTCCCCGCCGGGGAGCCAGTTGATGCGATAAAGTAGGTGATGAACNGATTCCCCGCCGGGGAGCCAGTTGATGCGATAAAGTAGGTGATGAACCAAAATAAATAAAGCTAACTGGTTTTCTAAGTGGCGTCAAGCCGTTTAATAAGAAAAATAAGAATCGTAACACAGGAAAAATGATACTATATAAGAAACCGTCGACAAAATAACAAAGATGACCGAATTTGCGGTGGCGATTGAGTTGAATTCGCGGACGATGCAACCGATGTGATAGGTGTCACGAAGATGACTGACTGCACGTATAATTGCGGCGGGGTATACGNTTACCCTCACAGTCAAATTTTCAACCCTCTTGCGGCACCTGAAGATATAAAAAAATTTTTTTTTTTTTTTATCTCCCATAATCAGGAGACTAAACTGCAACTTTTTTTTTCTATTAGAATTCAATTATCAACATTTTCAATATTTCGTTCCACCCTATTGTACAGTCTCCAAACCTAAATTTATTTTATAAAACTACATGGTAATTGTCTGAAAAATCTAAAATTTTATAGATTATTATTTCATTCAAAAAAAAATGTTTTTTGAAAAAGTACATATTGATATCAGTGGCGTACACAGAAATAAAATTTGTTTTTTTTATTTAATTTAAAGAAAATTAGATGTGACACTGCCCATATTGTGATCGCTTACAAAAATTCCTGTTTTCGATTACTTTATTGTGGAAATATTTATAGTATGATATGATTATTTGTATTGTTATTACTTATTGTTTATGGTTCAAAATTGTCACTTAGCTTATAAATTTTGGGGGGTTTTCAATCCCCAAAACCCCCCTCTTGTGTACGCTATTGATGGATCTTCTCTTGGTATACGGTGGNGGGGGTTTTCAATCCCCAAAACCCCCCTCTTGTGTACGCTATTGATGGATCTTCTCTTGGTATACGGTGGTAAAGTTGTATATAAACTAAATTCATTTAATAATAACAATTATTTTTCACATATAACTAATATATATTCAAAAGAGTAAACTTTTTCTAAACCAATTGTGTAGTGTTAACTCAAATTATTAAAAAAAAAATTTATTAAATTTATTTTAACTGAAATTTTTTTTTCTGTGGGCTTTTCATTAAATTTACAAAAATAGATTCATTTTGATCATTATTTTTTAAAAACACTTTTAGTTGTTTTTAAATGCAGAAAATAAATGGGGAAACACCATTTTGACGGTTGTGTAGATTTTATATATTTTAAAAAAGTTATTTAAATTAAGGGGAATTTTTCATATTTTACGCATTGGTAACTTCAACTAGATTAAAATCGAGTTCTTTCGACTTGCATATAGCAAAATGGGTCAATATGAGCCTAGAATTTTTATTGACAGATATAAAAAATTGCGCACATCATGGTAAAACCAATGTTTTGTCGGCTGCGCATCAATGTTATAATTACTTAAGATATTATCTTAAATTCGTTTTATAATTTATTATTTGATATTAGTTATTATTTTATTTTAATTTAATTATTTTAATAAGCCAGAAAATAATTTAGCATCCATTATTATTAGGAAAATTTACCCATAACAATTTTCGTCATACAATATTTTATGGATAAATGTTTCAATATTTCTGTTGAAAACGGTGAAATTATACTCGAAAGAAAAAAAGATATTGTATTTAAACAATTGTTTAATTTGTCAGAAGAAATAGAAGATTTTAATAGTATTTCAGGTAATTGAGATTATTTTTAACTTGTGTTTATACGATATAGAAATATGACAACACTAATCAATTTCAATATAATTGATATTTTGCTGTAATTTCTTTAATAATTATACATAGACTACGTTTAAATCATACTATTTATTATTTGTTTTTAATAATTATAAAAAAATGAAAACATTTTTTTATATTTAGATTTTTACAATATTTAAGAACAGCTAATTTTTTCATTAAAATTTTAAGGCAAACACTTTTTGAGTTACAAGCATTTTAATACACACAGTGGATATGTGTTGTAATATGAATTTTAAATATATACTTGAATGAGCTATTTCCACCCGCACTATATACTTACTAAATGTATTAAAATACAAGTAGCTCAATAACTACTCATCCTTAATTGTTATCGACCCATTAAACATTTTCGAAAAATTNCTACTCATCCTTAATTGTTATCGACCCATTAAACATTTTCGAAAAATGATTAAATTTTATTAATATGGTATAAGAATGTATAAATTATTTTTTTAAAAATTACATCTAAATGATAATGTAATCAAAAGTTATAAGAATTTTCATTTAGATCTGTTCAACTAGTTATACTAATTATATGAATAAAAGTATTTTACGACTTACTAGAATATTAGAAGCACTTGGTATATTTATTATATGTATATCAATTTTGAATAAAAATTGTATTTTATAAATTTATATAAACGCTAGACTATACAATGTTATTATAATTGTATGGATTAAAAGTTATAATAAAATAGTATTAATTAAAGTTGCTGATTAATATTTGATAACAGTAATTTTAATTTCACAGTTCAATTGTCAACACGTATGCATATAGAATTTTCTGGTTCTTAATTCATTTTTAAAATCAAAAGTTCTATTTAGAAAACAACTAATCTTTATATTTATTTCTATATGTATAGAAACTTGTGATTCTCTATATTTCATTAAATAATTACTTAAATTAATTCATTTTTACAGAAAATTATAAAAGGCTAAATAATTTTAAATAATAATCAAACATATCCACTTTTGAAAAAACTTAACAGAACTTTTTAGTTTTCATTTTTTGAGTCGAATAATTTAATATATTTATCAGATATTTTAATGAATTCTAAAAAATAGAACATTTTTAGTTTACCATGAGTAATGTTTTTCTATAATTGTATACAGTCAAAAAATGCATTTATTGTTATTTAACATAGTATGGTTATGAGTGATAAAATGACTTTTTAGTGTAGTTTTGAAGTAGTTATTTGAAAATTAAAAGGAATTAGAATTATTATATTTCATTTCAATGAAGAATGAGCAATAAAAGTTTTAATTGGTTAATAATCAATATCTAATTAAGGTTGTCACACTTTAATGTTATAAATTTTAAAAATGTACAAATAATCTATAAAAAAAATTTTTCCTTCGTGAATTAATTTAAAATTAGTAAAAAATTGAAAATAAGTCTTATATCAACAGGATGACCAAAAAGTTAGATATTGAGTTTTTAGTATAATTATTCGTAGATTTTTTAAAAAGCGAAATAGTGTTAGTTTATGCTCTATTTAACAGAAATGTTTACTTTTTTAGACGATAAATTATCATCAGAATTTAAAATAATATTTGAAAGTTTCATGTTAAGCGAACAAGACTTCAATGAATTTTTCCAAATTAATGATATAAATAAAAACGGCACTGTCAAAAAAGAAGAAGCATATGACATTTTTTTAAATAACGTATTGCTTTGTATGTTACTTAAAGAAGACATTAATAAGATATTCACAAAATATACAAAAAATGAAAATCAATTTAAATACAAAAGTAATTATCATAACTTTATTTAAAATGTATTAAAATATACAGTATAATTATAATTACACTGTAAATTTTTTTTTAAATTATTATTGATTATTAAATAATTTTTGAATACAAAAGTTAATTAAAGTAAATAAAGTAAGTAAATAATTTTAAATAATAACCAACGATGTCACTTTTGTAAAAACTTAATGTAAAACCTTTTAGTTTTAAATACTGCAATTGTTTTTCTTATTCCCACCCGATGTGTAGTAATATTGAGTTATGCAGCGTATAACTTATTAAAGTTTATACTTTATTGTTAGAAATACTCTAACATCTTTTGATTCAATATAATTTAATGTATTTAAATAAATTCTAAAAATAAAATTTTTATTTTTCTATAAAAAATTTTCATATCATAATAATAGGCAATGAAAAAATTGTTTATTTTTATTCAACATAATATAAAGTTTTGTATGAGAAAATTGGAAATAAGTCCTATTTTAAACGGATGATTTAAATATTGGATTTTTATTTTTTTTCTAATTATTTGTTCAGAAGCGAAATACTATTTCTTTATAAAACAGAAATTGTTGGCATTTCCTTAGGTTATGCAATTATGACAGATTTTCTAAAATTGTCTAATTCAGAAGAAGACAAAAATTATATTGAGTCCGCCTTAAAAAATTCGAATGAGAGTATTTCTAAAGAAGAAGCAGGTAGAATTTTTTTCAAAAGTCCATTGTTTAGAAATCGCATTAACAACATAATCACAAAGTATACAAATGATCAAAATCAATGTAATTACAAAGGTAATCATTATAACATTTTTTAAATTAATAAAAATATTTATACAATTTTTTAACAATTCCAATTTATGTTTATTTTAAGCCGTTTGATTATTGTGTTAAATAATTTTTTTCCTGAAAATTAATAATTTATATATAATAAAAATTGATCAATAATATTTTAAATATATTTTTAATTTTAAAAAATAATTTATAATTAAAATTAATTTAAAAAGGCATTTTTATGATGTTTTTATTAGAAAAAAGGACAAGAAGTATTTATTATTACATTAATTTTTATTTTTATATAGTGAATCAAAAAGATGTATGGTTGTATTATATGAACATAAGAATAATTGAGTTAATTTGTATTTATTGAATTACATGATATAATAAAATTTTCTCTGAGGGTATGAGTACAAGGGTCTTATGAGAAGATGTAAAATATAGAAAAACAAAGTGATGTTTGATAATTTATTAATATAATAATAATTTGACATAGAAATTATTGTGATTAATTATCACACTACCAATAACGCTACACGTACTAGTAGTTATCTCAGCTTGTGCTAAGTCGTGTCAATAAATTCCTCGAGTTGTATAGAAACCACAAGTTGTTTCTCTATCATTGCAAAAGAGTCTTTAATTCTATTGTCCACACAGGTAACTCACTCAAAAATTGGATGAGACTGGTTAACTTCGTACAAACGTTATCGATTTTATTTATTTAAACAATACTATATTTTAGTGATCACTTAATTTTTCTGATTCTCTATTTAATTTATGTACTCATTATACTTAACTCTAAACCTTATAAATCTTCTGAGAAATATAAGTTTACTTTCGTGATGTTGGAAGCAAGGTTTATAATATGTATACTTTGACTTTTTTTTGAGTTTATAATGTATGTAAAGGCCCTTTTTGCAATTGTTGAAAGATCATAAAGTGAACAACAAGTGAGACCAGGTGACAGTTTTTGTGCACTTTTATATTAAATTTAATTTATCTATATGTGCATGAAGTGTCATGGCCTATTACTATTATCTCTTAATTACTCGATTGTGTTAGTTATCACATATTATTTTACTTAAAATATATGATTTATCACAACTAAAGAATTCCTTACATTAGATTTTTATATATATATACATTTACAATACATTTTTCTCAGAATAGTTTAATAGATTGACATGTATAATATATATTTAATTTGATGACTAATGGAAAATGATATATAGATTATCGAATAATGAGTGGTGTATATATTATAACATTTAACACTATTTGACTAATGTAAACGTTTTCAAACATACTAATCCGTTTTTTTGATGATAATATTTGAATATCGTATTACTAAATACTTAATAATTTTTCCTTAAGAATATTACAAATATGAACCATTGTTATTATATATTAATTAAAGTCTGTATACTGGATTAACCATGCGTATGTATTTAAGCATGTAGGGATGACCTGGGTAAGTTGGAAAGTCAGGAGTACATTATAATGGACGGTGATTCTTACTAGTTAACAATAGCCACATGATTTCTCTTAAATTAATAATTATATTAAGAAATCAATTTTTGGTATTTTTAGTTTCATATATTTCTTGATTTATCAGTTATTAATTACTTTTTTAATCCATCCCTTATAACTTATGAGCGTGTCAACTTTATTTAATTAAATAGCAACTTTATATTTAGATAATTTATGAAAAAAAAAAAATGATCTATCTAGAAAATTGACTGGTCTGACTTGTATTTTGGAAGATATTACCATTTATAAATATAATGTATAATCGACCGCCCGGTTTATACTTCGGGTTAGGTGCAATTATGTGCGCGGTTTTTTGTAAAATAAAGGCGGTCTGTATAATAAATTGAAAATAGTACTTACACTAGCAGAAAATAAAATAGTAAGGCATATGTATTAAAATATAAACAAATAAAAATTATTATATAATCGGTAATGGCGGAGATCACTAAATGATACAAGGCACAACATATGAAAAAACAATATAATTATATAGGAACAATCACCAATTCATTTATTTATATCTATCTATCGACTTTGATGGCTGGCGATTCACAGAATGGCAGAATGAATTACAGTATCGATATTAATGGACGGATCTTGTCTGCTATTTAATCGACCAATGTAGTGTGGCGAATTGTATACACGATATGCACATGGGCGTGGAATCAATAAAACCCAGCGAATCACAATGGTGATTAGTCAATAGAAACGACTATGGCCTAAGATGAACCATAGACCACATAGCAAGGGCTAACAATGTTGACGAAAATAAATATAATAAAACGCTCAGTAAACCTTTACTCGTCCCGGTGGGTAGCGCAATCAAATCACTACTGTGCGCGGTAGTGCAAGCAGTGTTGCCAGACACAACAAAATCCGTAAAAGTTTATAATTAGATATTCCTCGGCCGCAATTCTCCTCCTGCTTAGGAATAAAAATGTTAATAACTTTCGCCCTACTGGCCCAAAAGTTGTTATCGACCAGTCATTTTCTTAATTATAATATTTCCTGTTTTGTTAACTAGTCAAATATGTACTTTGCTACTTAATAAATAAAGTTCACAACACTAATAATTATAAAAGATGATTCTATAAAATAATGAACAACTGGATAAATCGAGAAATATACGACACTTAATTTTTTTTACCATGTAGGAATGACCTGAATAAGTTGACGAAACTTAATAACTTATTAATGAGTTGTGATTAATATCTGACTAACGAATAAAAATTTAGCATGGCGTATGGATACTTATTAATTTAACACAAAAAAACTAAAAATAATTTTCCTAACATAATTATTATTTAAAAAAAAACTTGTGTGGCTGTCATTAAAAAAATAACACTGCTAATTATTTTTATTACATATTTTACAATATTGCAATAATAAATGTTGCATGTTATGAATTATTCCTAAAATTTTAACATTATTGCTTTATTTTTATGTTTTAATTTTTAAGTTTATTTAATATGTTAAGGGTAGTGTTATATCAATTGAAATAAATTTATTTTTATGTTGTGATAATTCAATTTTCTTAAATAATAAACTGTTCCTACAAACTAATCAAGTATATTTTTTACTTAACATATTTTATTACTTATACTTTACTTTTTGACAAAAATTTAAAAAAAAAATACGTTTTTTTATATATTTGTCAGCTTACTATTATAAAATGTCAACTTACAATTTGGTTAGGATAACTTGCCGAATTTAGCATTTTAAGAGAAAAAAATTAATTTAGNTAACTTGCCGAATTTAGCATTTTAAGAGAAAAAAATTAATTTAGGAATACAATTTTTTTTTAATAGGGTACTTGAAATATTTTGCGGTTAAATATATTGAAATTACTGTTCTAGCATTTAAAGATTTCCAATGGGAATTATGCTCGCCGATTTATCCGGATAACTTCTATAATTTTTGTTGGCATTATTTATTTTTGAGAATTCTAACTACTCGTGTATTGATAATAATATTACTATTTTATTTCGTTTTAGAAATGATAGCAGGATTTGGCGATGATTATAAAGGATATAAATCTTTTGTTTTGACTTATAATCAGAATACACAAAAATGGGAAAAAAAAATAACAAAGTAACATCAATTCTTAGTTTATAAAAATATAGTAACACTCCATTAAAATAATTTTTTTCATATTTATTTTTTCATAAATATTTATATTGATTTACATTAATGTATGTTTGATGTAATGTTTAGTGAAAATATGTATCATATAATAAAAATGTATCACTTGTGTTTAATATTAATTAAAATTAAAAATAAATTTAAAACTGTAATATTAAAAATATTTCAATAAATGGCCATTCAAAATCGCACGTGTTGACATCTTAAATTAAAAACTTTAGTTTCCTTAAAATTTTCTAGAGTTAAAAATTTGAAAACCTTTGTAACGTGACAAAAAGTATCTACTTATTTTTTTGTCTATTTCTATATATATATTTGTGTTGAGCCGAATGCGTACTGTGACGGTGTTCATCAGTTTGTGCGCGAGATAGTCAGCTGTGTACTACTTCGGACCGGTTCATGGACGGCATTTGTGTGTACATTTACTCATCTCCTTTCCTATTTTGAACGTCATTTGCACTGTTCACCGCATACATTGTCGCCTTATGATTTAAATTGTTCTTAATCATTTCCGGCACTGGGTATTTAGTTTTTTTTGACCCCTACTCTAAAGGCTAGCCGTGTTGTCGCCAACGGACTGCCGGACGTTTTGTCGGAAATTAGCCATCGTCGGAATTGGTTCGCTAATTTTCGTCCGTAGCGTGAGTTTTTTGTTGTTGTGTGCGCTGCAACATTTTAATTTTATATTGTAGGATGGTCTAATACAAAATAGAATAAGTAAAGATCACAGATTTAATTTAGCACTTTAATTATTATTAGAAAATNTTAATTTAGCACTTTAATTATTATTAGAAAATCATTATAGAACCACATTACGTTCACAGCCACAATTACAATTACAGAAAAACACAGAAATCACAGACTACTGTTATTACATCACAGACCAATCAGAGAGCTAAAATCAGACTACTCGGTACAGCTTACTTGAGGTGTGGCGGGAGGCCACGCCGCCCCACCAGTATATTACTACAGTTCGGCCATTCTGACTAAGGAGTGGACCCCACTCCTCAGTGAACATAAAAAAAATAAATATAATAATATGAATGATAATAATGAATTACAACATTAAAATTAAAATAATTTGCAATAATTATGTATGAACAACCAAAAGAAAAAAAAAAATTCAAATCCAGATACAAATATATATCAATAATATTACTATCATAAAACTTATACATTACATCTATATTTACATTCATTTGATTTTCAATCGTACAATAACATAGTAACATAAAATAATAAAATAAAAGACATTACAATTTTACCCAAGGTTTGATGTTCCTTAAGTCATATACAGATTTTAGTGGCATTTGGGTGACCTGAAAACCAGGGATGTCTGTTATTAGATATCTGTCGTTGGGTAAGACTTTTTTAATTTGGTAGGGTCCTTTGAATTTAGGGATGTGTTTTTTATTAATCCCAGGAGTTGTGTCAAAATTTGAAATCATGATGTACTCCCCCTCAGAGTATTTCCTACCAATACTATGTGATTTGTCAAAGTATTTTTTGTTGTAATTTTGTACATTTTTATTGGCCTTTTGTGCACTTTGTCTTATAGTATCAAAATTTCTATCAGAAGTGTACTCGGATTCTAGAACTATTCTTAGGTAATCATTTATTTTACCAGTTTGATTAACACCAAATAATAATGTACTCGGAGTGTTTTTTATTGACCTATTGACTGTATTGTTAATACAAAATTGTATGTGCGGTAGGGTATCATTCCAGTTTGCATTATAATTTAAGTGTTTTGATATCATTGTTTTAATGGTCCTATTGTATCTTTCAACCTGACCATTGGCTTGGGGTGAGCCTGAAGCTATTAAAATTAGTTTGATATCATTAGAATTACAGAAGTTTTTAAAAATATCAGATCTAAAGCATGACCCCCTATCAGCAATGATTCTCAGAGGCTTACTATAATAATTAAAATATTCTGATAATTTACTACAAACTTCGTTAGTTTTAGTGGATCTTACAGGATACAAATGTAAAAATTTAGAAAACGCATCAATGACAACAAATATATACTTAAAATTACCTTTAGTGGCACCGAGAGGTCCATAATGATCAATATGTAATGTGTGAAAAGGTTTATCACCCTTATCAACTAGTTTTAACAATCCTTCGATTTTGCCACTTTTGGGAGAAAACACAATACATTTTAAACAGTTTTCCACGTACTCTTTGACCTTTGTCACTAATCCTGGAAACCAGTAACAACGTTTAATAAGTTCTACTGTTTTGTTAACGCCTACATGACCCATTTCATCATGACAAGTATGGATGACTCTACTTTCCATTACAGACGGTACATAAAATAATAATTTTTGTTCATGTTTCCTATACACTAAGCCATTTCTCAGTTCAAAAAATGAACTTTCGGAATTTTCAAGAAGGTTGGCTATTTTTTTTATTTCATCATCTGTGCTCTGCTTGATAGCTAACGTTTGGTATAATGTACATTCTTCAAGAACTAATATGTTCTACTAATAAATTCCTACTAAGCGCATCGACATGTTTCATGCGAAGCCCGGGCCTATGTTCTAATTCATACTGATAGTTTTGTAAGAAAAGTACCCATCTAGATATCCTAGGATTAATATCTTTTTTCTGAAGAGCAAGATTTATGCTATTACAGTCTGTAATAATTTTAAAATTAATCCCCTGCAAGTATACATGAAATCTTTTAATTGAGTTTACTATAGATAACATTTCTAATTCGAAACTATGGTACCTAGATTCTACCTCTGTTGTCCTCTGACTGTAATAAAATATAGGGTGGAGTTTATTATCTTTTTGCTTTTGTAATAGTATCGATCCATAACCTAAGCTAGATGCATCACAATGAAGCTCAGTGTGTGCATTAGGATCGTACACACACAGCGTGGGGTATTCACTTAATTTAGTTTTAATAAGTTCAAAAGACTCCAACTTATCCTGGCCAAATTCATAAGGACAATTTTTTCTCAATAAATCATAAAGGGGTTTGGCTAATACCGCAAAGTCGGGAATGAATTTTCTAAAGTATGATGCCAGACCAATAAAACTTTGCAGAGACTTAACATTTTTCGGTATAGGATAATTTTTGATAACAGACACATTTTTAGGGTTTGGACAAATACCTTTAGAACTAATATTATAACCTAAATAAATTATTTCAGTTTTTAAAAATTTACTTTTATCTATCCTAATTTGAAGTTTATGTTTTTTCATATGTTTCAATACACCCTTAAGGATTTCTAAATTTTGTTCAACAGATTCTGTAGCAATAATAATATCATCAAAATAAATCATAATTTGTTCATTGTCAATAAATTCTTTAAAAACATCATTAAGGTATTTTTGGAACCAAGCTGGCCCATTACAAATACCAAATGGCAGCCTACAATATTCATATTGACCAAGTGGAGAAATAAAAGAGGTAAATTTCCTACTATCTTCACTAATACTAATATGATGGAAACCATCTTTGAGATCTAGACATGTAAAAAAAACTTTATTCCTCAACCTATCAAGGTGGTCATCAATTAGCGGTAAAGGATACCTATTTTTTACCATGTTTTTATTTAATACTCTGTAGTCAACACAAAGTCTCAATTCATCGTTCTTTTTTTTAACCAAAACTATAGGGCTACAATATTCTGAATTACTAGGTCTTATGTATTTTTTCTCTAACAACTCATTGATAATTTTATCTAATTTCTGTCTCTCAAAATAAGATAATCTACGAGGTTTAAAAAAAAATGTTTTATTGTCTTTCAATTCAATCTTAACTTCAGGAGAGATAATTTCATTACCATTGCTTGACGCATCACAATTAAAATTAGTATAGTTTTCTAAAAATATATTATGCACATCGGTTTTAATTTTATTTGATATTGAGTCTCCTATATCTAACTCTATTTCCTCTTTGACAAACTCCTGAGTAAAATTAAGATTTAGAATTTCATTGAAAGGTATAAAATCTGATCTTATTATATCAATTTCAAAATTACCATTTTCCATATTAAATTTCACTCTGGGATGGGATAAAAAGTTCCTACCCAACAGACAATCACATTGAACGGTATCATTTGGCACTACACTGAATTTAGTTTGAATTGGTTCTGAAGTTGTATTGGTTTGACTTACATTTATAAAAATATTATCTAATATAATAAGTTTGGAACCATTAATTCCAACTATATTACTGGTTGTCTGGTTTTTACCAGAATACAAGTAATCGGGAACAACACTTTCTCTAATCAAACTTATTGGACTACCAGTATCGATAATACAATTAATCACATACATTTCATTATCAGAAAACTTAAAATCTAATTTAAATACAAACGGAGGAGTTACCATATCAGGCGTTGTTTGAAGAACCATGGCTGATCTGCTTGGTTGATCATCATTTTGTTTTGTCAGGTTGTTGGTTTTAAAGACATGTTTCTCATGGGCAGGTTTTGGACAATCACGAATACGATGTTCCTGTGAGCCACATCGAAAACAGGAACCTGAGCTAGCTGGATTTTCACAAGATGATGAATAATGTCCTGACTGATTACACCGATAACATCTGATTTGACTTTGAGGCTTGTTTACTTTAACTGACTTGGAATTCTGTTGATATTTTGGTACAAAGCGAGCAGCTCTAGAGGTGATTACACTGTTGTATGTCATTATGTCCGACAATAGTTCATCTTCATTAATGTGGTTGCGTGCCAATAAGTAGTGACACATATCTTCTGAATACAGGCCTTCAATTATTTGTAATCGCGCTTCATTGAACGGTAATTTTAAAGCTCTACATAATCTACATTTATCGTGAAAATATTCAACAAGTGATTCATTCTTACTTTGAACGCGAATTGTCATTCGTTTCATCCGTTCAATCATAGATAATTCTGGACCAATAAAAGTTGCTTTAAATTTTTGCTCAAATTCGTCCCATGAATTGAAGTTCCTCCCTTGAATCCAATGTTTAGCCGGACCGTCAATTTTAGAAAACGCCGTTTCTAACTTGAACGTGTCTGGCCATCGATGAAGTTTGGAAACGGTTTTTATTGATTGAAGCCAATCAGCTGCTTCAATTTTATTTTCTTGTCCCAAAAAAACAGGCAGTGTGTTATGAAAATTTGGCATGACATAATATGAATCTGAACTTGCGCTATTCGAAGAAGCAGTAGAAACTGATCCATTCGCTGATGAAGCATCTCGTTCTAGCAAATGATTAATTAATAATCGGTTTTGTTCCAAAAGAGTAAGCAATGTGTTGTTTATATCAATATTGGAGTTGGCTGGATGTGGTGATAAAACTTGTTGATAATCAAACGCACTCGTGTTATCAGATCGAGGCGGTAAATTCGATGCAGGCGTGGTACCGTTATAATTATTCGAGTGTGCGACAGTTGCATCACTTTCACCGTACGTTGGACAATTAGATCGAACTAGTGATGGTGGCCGATTATCGGAACCGGTTTCATCCATGTTGACGTTTGATGTGTCCAGCGGAAAAACCGTACCGTTACGTAACCTCATCGGCCGCACTTCGCACAATTGTAAATTAATTATTCAATTACTTAATTTGAATTCAATCACTCAATTAATAGAGATTTAAGAGAAAAAAAATATTTTCATATAAGTCTCGTCAATTTACCAGTTTTACACGCGAATCCCACTTCTGAATTTGTAGGATGGTCTAATACAAAATAAAATAAGTAAAGATCACAGATTATCACAGATTTAATTTAGCACTTTAATTATTATTACAAAATCATTATAGAACCACATTACGCTCACAGCCACAATTACAATTACAGAAAAACACAGAAATCACAGACTACTGTTATTACATCACAGACCAATCAGAGAGCTAAAATCAGACTACTCGGTACAGCTTACTTGAGGTGTGGCGGGAGGCCACGCCGCCCCACCAGTATATTACTACAATATATATTTTTTTCGTGAGTATTCGTTACTATAATTTGTATAATGTAATTTTTTTTATTGGCGTCGGTTAAATCTGCCTCCAGTATCTTAGCCCTTAGGGGCGGCTGGTAACGTATAAGTTTTGTTTTAATGTTTTGAGCCGGAATTTGTTTTTTTATTATTAGTGCGCCGTGCCATAAGCACGTGTGGTGAATTTTTTTTTATTACATTCTTTTTTAGGTGCCCTTCTTTTTTTTATTATGTAGGTCATTCAACATGGCAGGCGTGTTACAAGGCCAATTGTCATGTTATATCTATATTTTTTGTGATTTTTTTGTATTGGATTTATATGACATGATATTGGGTGACGCATAGATATATGTATGTATTATTGGTACAATGTGGTGACGTAGTGCATTTTATTCCGGTGTGTCCCAACGTCTTGCAAGCTAAGTCTAACTGCCTAAAACCAGTCGCCTACTTGGGGCGTATACCTACCGAGCTTGTAGACGAGGTTTTTTGACCGTTCGGTTTTTTGCCTCGTATTAACTTAATTTTTTTGTTTTTTTTTTAATAAAGTCCCCTTAATTTCACTTAACTATCATCTTATTTTCTTTGCGTGTTCCATCTTCAATGGACTCGTGTATTTTTTTATTTTTTTTCCTTTTAAAAATCAACTCCCCTTAGTTTATAAGGTACGGGCAACGGCCTTGTATAAGGTCATCCCTCATTATTATGGTTATGTGACAACTGTCACGAGGTTTTGGTATACATCTACTATCAACGACTCAACGCACATCAACTTTAATCTTTATTAATTTTATTTTTTTTTTAACTGTTTTAATATACAAAATTTAATTTCTCTTTAAAATTCTACTGTGGTCCGACAATACATTGTCTCGCCCAGTAGGTTGGCGACTCTTTTCTTGTTCATTTTTCAATGCGCCATGAAAGTTACACATTTTTTATTGCGGCCAATTAATTCCATTTTTTTTTATATTTGTAACCTTTCACATTTATAAAAATTTATTTATGATGTATCAAATTCAATAACCAGAAACTGATTATTTTTTGAATGACTGGAATCTTAGCTACTCTTCTTTAACTATTAATTTATAAAAAAAATAATTTCGAACTATTAAGTTTCAGAAAAGTAAATGACACCTAAATTAGCTTCAAATGTTAACCTAGTTTCTAATTTTACATTATAAGTATTGATCACCTTGTATGCAAGAACTTTTTAACAATTTACTTTACTTATACAGGTGAAACTAGAGTGTTGATCTCCGTGATTAGTACTAATGAGAGATCTGTTGTTAATTTATCAAACTGTAACGAAAAAAATATTATATAACTAGACGATCTCAATTCTCAAATTTAATTTAATTAATTTTCAAATAATTTTCAAACATTTATGGTCATTTTATAACCTATCAATACCCCTTTTCTTAACGATAACACAAAAAAAAATCGAAAGAAAAGTGTTAGCAACAGACCATGTTTACTTTATATTTTTGGAGGAGTCAATGTATTCAAATATGAGGTTCGTTTGACGCCATCACGTTATGGGTTTTCATATCTCAAAAAAAAAATAGCTTATAAATCAAGTAATATTACTCAACTAATTCAACCGGAAAATTTACTTAATAACAAAGTATATTACATTAGCTTTAATTTAATATATATATAAAAATATATATATAAAAGTGTCCGACTTTCCGGTAAACATTCAAAATTTAAGTTAAATAAATAAATTTTTTGTAAAAAAGTTGTCTTTTTGAATCTCCCCCTGTGGGCAGATAAAGGATCAGATTTATAAAAAAAATATACCATTTTAAACACGCTTATATTAGTTTCACCTGTATGTATATATGTATGTATGTATGTTTTTAACTCTCCAAGCGCTACGTGTTATCGCATATTCCGTCGTCTATGGCCTTGAGACTAGACCAGTCATACTCAACCTTTTTTTTATTTGGGCCACTTAAAATATTTTAAAATAATACGCGGGCCGCAAGTTAAAGTGAACGGAAAGGAGATTAAAAAAAAAAAACTAAAAATACATTTATATATTATGTATAGAACATTTAAAAATTTATTATAAAACATTAAATAATCATTTTAAACTAGTGTGAATTTTGATATTGAGATATATTCTTTATTATTTTGGATATATCTGGTTTTCTGTTGCATGCTACTCTTAACAAGTCGTCAAGATGTGAATCAGTAAGCCGATTTCTGTACATATTCTTTGCATATTTCATTTTAGAATATGAAGTTTCACATAAATATGTTGATGTGAACATTGTTAACAAAAAGTGAGCACATTTTTGTATGGTTTTGTATTTTCCTGGCACTAAATTCCAAAATTCTATGTATTGTTTTTTTTCTCTTTTTTCTTTGAAAGTAATTTCCAAATTTATATCATTTTTCAATTCAATAAATTCATCAAATAATTTTGAAATATCAGATACAATTAATGCAGCAAATTGTGTTAAACTACTAACTTCTAAGTGCCAAGGATTTTCTACAAGTAAAAAGCAACTTTTCACACTTCTTAAGTCCTGAAATATTTTTTTAAATTCATTGGATAAGGCAGCTAAATGAATTAAAATTATTATATTGTTTGGTTGAGAAATGATAATATCATCATGTATAAATTTGGAAAGGGTAGGGAAATTATGTAGTATTTTGTTTTCTATTTCCTTTTGATAAATTTCCAGTTTCTCTTCAAGAGCAAAAACTTTATTTTCCATCTGCGAAATAATTTTATTGTCACCCTGTAAACCGCGGTTGAGTTCATTAAGTTTTTCTGTGATATCACACATATAAACTAAAAGGCACCACCAATTATTATTTTTAATTTCATCAAATTTGTTTTTTTTGCAAAAATGTAGTAATTTCTAATCGTTAACAAAAAACCTTTCCAGTACTTTACCTCTACTAAGCCAACGCACCGAAGTATGTAAAAGAACATCACTGTAATTACTGTTCATTTCTTCTAAAAGACTTTTAAATTTTCTGTGATTTAATTCATTTGCTCGAATATAATTCACAATTTTTACTACGTTTTTCATTACTAAATCTACTTCTTGAATAGAGATGCGTGCTGCCAAGTTTTCTTGGTGAATAATACAATGGAAAGACAATGTGTTTGTTAAATTATATTTTTTTTTCAATAAAGAAATAAACCCCTTTACACATCCGGTCATCGATGGACATCCGTTGGTGCACACAGAAACCAATTTTTTAATATCAATATCATTGTTGTCAAGAAAATTACTAATAACATCGAGATAACCGATGCCTCTTGTTTGATATTTCATTGGAATGAATTTCAAAAAATCTTCATTAATAGAATTTTGTTCAGTACAATACCTAACAAAAATAGAACATTGTGATGTGGCTGAAATATCAGTGCTAGAATCAAAAGCTAAACTAATAAATTTAGAATTTTTTAAGTCTTCAATAATACGNACAATTTAAAATTTTTTTAAGTCTTCAATAATACGGTTATAAATATGTTTAGCAATATTTTCTATGCACCTAATGCAAGTAGAATCAGAAAGCTGCATTTTTTTAATTTCCGATATTCTTTGATTTTTATTGCTAAATCTATCAAATAGTAAGGAGGAAGCATTTATAAAACATTTTTTCACTATTTCAGCGTCAGTAAATGGTTTTAAATTGTTATAATTCAAATAACAAAAATTAATAAAATAAAAATAAAAGTAAATTATAAGATGGGGACTTGGGTTTTTGTATAAAATGTGAACCTGATGTTGTGGTTCCATCGGGGTCGCATGGTTCGAGGGTTTAGAACGACAAAGTCAAGTAGATATAAAAATATATGTTAAGTTCCTCTTATAGAGGTATAATAAACTTTTGTCTGGTTAGTTTCTAATGTCCTAACTAAGAGGCAAGGAGATGGCAGAGCCAGTCCATGAATACCAGAGCCTAATTTATACAGTAGAAATCACGCTAGGTTTTTTAAAACAACTTTAAGGCAACGAAACGGCAGAGCCAGTTCACGAATACCATATAACGTGATTATGTATAATTTCTTTAACCAACCAGTCAAAATTGACACTTTAAGATATTAATTTAATAAATGATCTATTGCTTTGTCATCCTTTACTCAAACTTATTTACTCCAAATAATTGAGATAACATAAAATTACTTACTTCTTTTATTCTTTCAAATTGCTTGTAAAATGATTTGATAATTATCTCGATATGTTTATATATGATTAAAAGTATTTAATTCACACTTCGTCAAAAGATAAATAATTAAAACAAGTTCTTTTCATATATAAATAAAACGCATAAAAGTCAGCCGACAACAACACGGGGCTGTGACTGATAATTGTTACTTTTTTTTATTCTTATTTCAATCCGGAGAAAACGAACTCTCTTGGTCGCTGTCACTTCTTTTTTTTTTCGTCTCTCTGGAGTCTTTCCCTGACTCTCNTTTTTTTTTCGTCTCTCTGGAGTCTTTCCCTGACTCTCTCTAGTCTGAAAGGATTTCAGTGCTTTTTATAGTAAAATGATAGTACCCCCAATTCAGGGTTATTGTTGTCAGCGCTTTTAGTGATCTTTTTATTATATTGTATTTAATTATACATTACATGATTATTATATTGAGATAGCATATTTATCAATTGATAATTAGACATATATATATATATATAAATAATAAGAAATTGTGTTGAACATCGTATTTGTTATGACAGATAAATTATTTGTTTATTTACAAGTTATTTAAAATACAGATTATACATTTTTCATTAATAATTTTAAGATGCGTAATGCAAAGCATTGAGCATATTACGACAAAATGCTTACCGAGTATGTAACGAATTTCGTATGATACAGTTGTGACAGCTGCATCTTTTGATACCGCCACTGACATAACACTTTGTTGTTGTTGCAATGACTTCTTGAAAAAAGTTAATTTTTCATGTCTTATCAGAGATCCGGGATTAAAGTACTATTAAATGATTCGTGTTTTGTATTATAGTGACGAATAATATTATATTTTTAAACATAATACTTTCTCGACAGATTAAACAAGTAGCTAAACCCTTTTTATTTGGTACAACAAAATATTCTTCTTCCCAACTGTTTTGAAAAATTCTATTTTCTTCAGATATTTTTCGTTTGTTTTTCAATAAAGACAAGTAGATATAAGAGAAATTATTAATGTTCCTCTATAATGATATATTGCGTATTAATGATGATTAATACGCAATCAGGGAATTTTATAATTACTATTTATAGTAAATTTATCAGAAAAGTTAGATTTTTTTACATTTTTATCGTAATAGATCACATAAATAAAAATCATAGTAATCGTTTCTAATTAACTTTTGGCGTTTAAAAAGATTCTACAATGGAAATATTCAGAATTTAATTAATTTTAATGATTTTATATCT